GTAGCCCGATGCTGGACTCGATCCCGGGACTCCAGGATCATGACCTGAGCCGAAGGCAGTCGCTTAACCAACTGAGCCACCCAGGCGCCCGGGTTGTGTTCAGCTTTAGACAATGTTCATTCTGGAATAGTTCAGGAGAGCTTCAGAGAAAACACTTTTATCCCTGGGCTGATGGTAGCATAGGCCTATACTTAAGGGCCTGGGTGTGGACTCAAGAAATTCATTAGGTTAGTCTAGACCAGGTAGGGAGTAAGACTAGATCTTAAGACCGTTAAGACAGTAGAATACTAACATTATTGACATGTATCAGATAGCTGTGCATGTCCTAGTCTTTCCAGCATGCCTTTAAAATAGCCATAAGATCTTTTCAGAGGGTAGTTTTAGCAGTATCTGCCAAAATGCATGTGCTCATACTTTTTCATCTAGCTACGGAGAAGAGGAGCCCTGGAAGCAGAGCATGCTGGGAACGAAGTCTTTGAAGTCCTATCCTGTTCAGACAGAAATTGCGAACTCTGTGCGTGATGCTTCAATTCAGTCCAAGACCCTGACAGAGAAGTTTCTATCTCTTTTCTGCATATGGGCACTAGAAAATCTTCTGCTGGGCACACAAATTGGGCTATGTATCTGAGACTTAACTTCAACACTGGATCTGGATAGAATGTTAGTTCCTTAGTGGAGAGTAGTGTTAGGTGGGGGCCAATGCCCTACTCTCACCATGCCTGCAGTTGCTGGATTTTTCAGTGATCTCTAAATGTCCCTGCATCTGTCCTTATCCCCTCAAGATTCAGAGTCCTTGGTGGAAGTATCCAGTTTGTTGAGCCTGAGACATGTCTGGCCTCCTTCAACTTTTATAGTAGGAAGTTAGGCCCTCTTTTTTGCTTTGACCCAGACAGTGGAGGGTCTTTCTAAATACAAAGACTGTTCCAGTTGTTGGTATCCAAAAATAAATATACAAACACCCAACAAATTTCTACTGTGGGAGAAAACAAAAAATCACATGAAGGCACATACATAAAAAGAATAGATTTTTTTTTTAAGATTTTATTTATTTGTTTGAGAGAGAGGCACAGCATGAGTGAGGGGAGGGGCAGAGGCAGAGGGAGAAGCAGACCCCCTGGTGAGCAGGGAGCCCGATGTGGGGCTCGATCCCAGGACCTGAGATCATGACCTGAGCCGAAGGCAGATGTTTAACTGACTGAGTGACCCAGGCGCCCCAAGAACAGATATTTTTGAAGTAGAAACAGACAACTAGTAGATATAATAAGAGAGAGTTACATGGCTACATGGAAAAAATAATAAAAATGGTATTTGGAGGATATGAAACAAGACCTAAATAAATGAGGAGACCTTCCATGTTCTTAAAGAGATCAGTCCCAGTTATAGCCCAGTTGGGTTTTTTGAAATTGTCAGATCTGTAGTTCACATAGAAGAATAAATGAATAAGAATTATTTAAAAATATTGGAGAAAAATAATAAGGCCTTTCTTATCTAATATTAAAATACTATTTTAAAACTAATCGAAACAGTACAGGTATGCAATAGAAAATCAGATTGCTATAGCAAAACAGAATTTAGAAACAGATGCAGGATATATGGGACTTCGGTAATTTTAAACAATAATCCAAGTAAGTAGAGGGAATGAAGCCTATTTAGAAATTAGTGTTGAGACATTTGGCTAAAGAAAGTAAATTTAGATGCTTACCTATTACTATATGCAAAAAATACTAATTCAGTTTAAAAATAACATGAAAAAACTTAACTAGCATTAGAAAAAATTAAGAGAATGTGTGTAGAAGAGGCTTTGTAGGCCCATATCCTACAAATATAGTACTGTATCATAAAAATATATGTAACAGGATATTCACTGGAACATTGTTGATAAAAACAACAAAAATACACAACTTAGATGTTTATCGAGAGGCGTATAGTTAAATGAATTATGGCATATCCGTGGTATATAATTTTTAAATGAAGAGAAAGATGTCTTTGTGCTGATAGGGAAATATTGCCTTTTTTTTTTTTTTTTTAAAGATTTTATTTATTTATTCATAAGAGACAGGGGAGGGCAGAGGGAGAAGCGGGCTCCCTGCTCAGCAGGGACTCGATGGAGGGACTTGATCCCAGGACCCTGGGATCATGACCTGAGCTGAAGGCAGATGCTTAGCCACCTGAGCCACCCAGGCGCCCAATAGGGAAAGATTTCTAATATATATTCTTGGGTCCAAAAAAAGCCACTTGAAAAACAGTATATACAGGATGAACCTACTTGTGTAAGAATTGAGAGGATATGTATTTAAAAATGTATCCTTTATGTGTAGACATAAATGTTTGTTGTTTATAGAAAATTCCTGGAAAGATAGTGCTGACATTGATAAAAGGAATTACCTATGAGAAATGGAAATGGTGGGTGGGAAATAGGAAAGAAGGACTTAGGACTGTGAATGTATTCATCATGAGCATATATTGTTACTTTAATAGTAATACAATTATTGATGATGCTTTTGAATATTATTTTTATTTTTTAAAAAGATTTATTTATTTTAGAGAGAGGGGGGATGGGAGAGGCAGAGGGAGAGGGCGAGAGAAATTCTAGGCAGATCCCCCACTAAGCATGGAGCCAGACAGAGAGCTCAATCTCACAACCCTGAGATCACAACCTGAGTTGAAACCAAGAGTCAGATGCTTAACCGACTGAGCCATCCTGAAGATTATTTTTAATGAAATGGCAAAATGCTTACTACTGACATGAAAACCTAGGATTTAAAATTCTATATAGGAAGATCCAAATAGTGTTGAAAAAGAAAGTGCGTACATTTTTGTATGTATGTGTATGTGCAGGGGGGCAGGGATGGATAGACAGACTCTTTTCTGTCAAATGTTTTGAAAGGCACTACGTTATAATTATATTAGTAGATTATTTTTATTTTCTTAATATTTTTTAAAAACCTACAATACCTTTGTAAGTTGATAAAATCAATAAAAAGTTATTTTAAGTTCATCCTTTTACTTCATGCATCCTGGGTTAATACTTGATTTGACCTTGTTTCCTTGGATGCTCTTTTGCTCATGAAGGAGAAAGTTTCAGCCGCATGGATTTTGGTGTCCATATTTGTCTGGGGGCGGGGGCATAAAGATCGTCCCTGACCCTGTTGTGTTATTTGTTCCCTATTTTGTCTTCTAAAGTTTTTTCTTTTTGTGTCTGTTTTCTTTTCATCTTTCAGTTCTTTTTCTCTTCTTTTTTCCTCTTTGCCTAAATTTTAGTTTCACTTTATTTTGTATTACATGTCTTCACTCTTGATCTGTCATTTGAGACCATGACTGTTTTTGACTTTTAGACCCTCTGAATCATTCATTTTTCTTTCTGTATGTTCAGGCTGATCTTAGAACTATAGAGAATTACTTTGCCAGCCATTCCTGTTTCATTATTCAGTTAAATTTTCTTAGTAAGGGCATATTATCTTTCACAGCTATTTCTCAGCTCAGTTTGATTTAACAAACTTCTATGAACATTTGCTCTTTGCCAGGTACTGTGCCAGCTGTGGGGGTTATAGAGGTGAGTCTGTTCATTACTAGATATACAACTTAAAGTTCAACTCACCTCTGGCAAGGTTTAGTTTCACAATAAAATCAGCCAAGGGAACTGCCCCTGTCAATTTTGGACATATTATTATTATTATTATTATTTTAAATTTTATTTTATTATGTTATGTTTGGACATATTAAGTGAAGGAACAGAAATGAGTTCTAATTAAAAAGCAGATGTTTAATAAGCTGTTAGTACTTCTAACCCTTCTTAAAACAGCCCCTACAAAACCCAAACCTTTCGTGGCTATTGAAGTCAAATGCATAGAGGTAGATCTTTACTAGATGGATGGATAGTTAATGGCCAAAAAGTCCTTAGGGTTATGGTGGTAGGGGTTGTTTTTGGTATAATTTGCTTTACAGTTTTCCTGTCTGCCACCCTGTGGTTAGTAAATAGCAAACCACATTCAATCGCAGTAAGCGATTAGTAATTTTGGGGGGACTATCTTATGCTGGAAAGTATTTTATGTACGTCACAGCTGTCTTTTACAACTTAGCTATGAATGACTAAATGGATTTAAAATAAAAATTTGTAATCATAGATATTTTAAAAAAACAATACTTTGTACCAATGTTTCTTTCAAAATACAGCCGTTCAGTGCGTTCAAATTAATTACAAACTTGATAAGAACAGTCTAATTTTGATTTTATTTTTTGCTTTCAAAAATACTTCCTCAGAGATATTCAGAACCCTTTGCAGGTACTCATACGTGCCCAACTTTATTTCTTCAGAAATGGAAACGGACGCACACACTATTTAAATGCAGTATTCTGTAATAGCACCTACCTTTCTGTTGAGCTTCATGTCTGTCATAACTAAATGAGTGGGTGTGCCTACTTTCTCTTGAACCCTTGAGACTAATTCCTTTCATAACAGAACAACAGAAACACCAAAAGTCATTTCCAGAGTTACTTGCCTTTGGGTTAGTGTTCACAAAGGAGAAAATTGAAGCCCAGGGGAAAATTTTAGAGAGATGAGTCTATGAAAATAGTCTTGCAGTAAACTGACTTTCTAAAAGTTTATTGATGGAGTGTAAGGGCCCTTCTGGCTCTGGTAATAAAGTCAGTAGGTTATGTTTTTCAAAGTTAAAATGGCAAGACATTTATCACCCCGTATTTAACTGAAACATACTTTTAGGTTAAAATTGAGAAAATAATTACAGGTTTCAATCTAAAGTGAAGCTTGTGCACATCTGTGTTTATAGAAGTGTGTATTATACTCACAGAAATACACATATCACTACACACAAATATGTACTCATGGTATGACTTCATTTGTAAGCATGGCACACTTGCTCCTATATACACCTGAACTTCCCTGTTAGTTGATACCTTCATCTATCAATGCTTTAAAAATGACTTCTCCATTTTTCTTATGGAAAAATTTATGAAACATACTCTATATTTTCTCTATCATTTAGAATGGAAATGAACT